ACTTACCTTTAAACCGACCAGATTTAGTAAAGCAATTTCTGAAAGAATACACTAGTATCAAAAACTAAATACTTCATTTACTTCGAAAAGGAAGAACAATTCTCGGAATTAGTAATTTTCTTATTTAAAAGGGAACTTGTACAATTTTTCAAATGCACTAAAAGAGTCGTATACGTAGATAATGAAAAAGAACAAAGAGACTTAGTTCAGAAATATGACGTCGGAAAAACTTGCCATCGTGGTATCAAAGAAACCCTAGCCCATATCAAACGGTCATACTTTTGGCATAGTATGGCCCAAATCATAGCCAGTGTAATAAATGCATGTGACGCATGTAAAAGTATGAAATATGATCGCAACCCCATGAAACCTAAACTCCAACTTACGCAAACCCGAAATAAACCTCTTGAAGAAATTTTCATAGATCTCTTTAAAATCGAAGGTCACTATTACTTAACAATAATTGATGCCTTTAGCAAATTAAGACCTTTGAAATAATTAATAGGTCGACACCCGAAGGCTCTCCTTAAATATTTTTCTTTTTACGGTGTCCCCCACAAAATAAGTTCAGATCCTGGATCTGAGTTTAACAATGCGTTACTTAAAGAATTACTTTCCTTTTATAAAATAGAACTTCATATTGGTACCCCTAACAACCCTAACTCTATGGGATTGGTTAAAAGATTCCACTCAACCATCTTGGAAATATATAGATTATCAAAGCATGAACACAAATATACCAGACGCCCCTTCCATAATGACATACGCAATAATGGCATACAATCATAGCATACACTCTGTCACAGGCTTAACACCTTTTGAAGTTTTATTAGGACATAAAGACTCACGACATGCATTTGACGTAGATTTTGAAAAACAGTATTTACAACAGTTAGTTAAAGAACACGCAAAGCGTACTAAATATCTCTATAAACATCTCACAGAACAAGCCATACAAAATAAAGAAAAGATTATTATAAAGAGAGGTGGAGAAACAGAATTTAAGATAGAACCCGGAGACACTATTTATGCAAAAGTTACTAATAAAAGGTGTAATAAAGATAAGCCACGTTTTCAAAAGGCCCTAGTAACCGACACCATCAATAGAAATATTATTTCCATAAAGATTAAAGGACGTGTAAGTAGTGTTCCTCTAAAGAATGTAAAACGCCTTTCACAGGAACTTCCTGCTCGTCCTGGTAGTAGCCATGGTGACGTGCCTCCAGGCCCTTCAACTTCAGGAATTAAATAGCAATCCTGGAATACTGCCCGTGAAACAAGGAACTGCCGTCATCAGTAACGATAAATGGATCATTGCCAAAATAAAAGACCTCAAACCATTCATAGAGGATGTAAAAGTCAATGTACTAAGGTTTTCCGAATTAAATAAGATAGTTAATAATTTAAATAAGAATTTTTCATATAACTTTGTAGATGTTCATACACAAGTAGAATACATTAAGAATTTAACTATTAATAAGCTTGAACAAATCACCCCTTCTTTTAGAACAAGACGCGGTATACTTAACCCACTAGGTTCATTAATTAAGGTAGTCACTGGAAATCTCGATAATGATGATGCCGTTAGATACGATAAATTAATTACAGAAGTAAAAGTCAAACAAAATAGTAATTACAACAGAATGACGTTGATCACAGAAATAATAAATTCTCTGACAAATTCTACATTAAAATTAAATGAAAATCTAATAAAAATTAATAAAGTTATTATAACATTATCACATAACTTAAGTAGTATAGTTGAAAGAGAACACTCTAATCATATTGAGACACGGATTTTAAGTACGTACAACCTATTGATTCATAACTTTCAGGCTATCCTTATAAAACTGATTGAGATAGAAACCACTATAGCTTTAAGTAGATTAGGAATCTTACATCAGTCTGTAATAGAGTCTAAAAGATTGTTATTTTTACTTGAAAAAATTGTTAACACATAAAACATTAGAAAATTTAGTTAAAATAGAATGGACTATAATGGTAAAAGCTTATTTAAAAGGAAATAGCATTACTTATCTTTTGGAAATACCTCTCGTCACTAAGGACACTTATGTTTATTATAAGCTCAATCCCTTACCCGTACTATCCCACAACCTTACCACTGTCATTTTACCAAAATTCCCGTACTTTTTAGTGAATGGGTCGAAGATTAGACTACTTACTCATACCTGTCAGGAAGCCGATGAATACAGTTACCTCTGTACTGAGGATGACACATCCCATCTAATTAAGGACGATTGCATCACAGAACTGATGACTTATGCTGAAAATATATATCCTCATGCATCCAAGTTCCAGTCATTTTGGAAGCTGTAAGGGTGCAGCTTATACAACCAAACAACAAACCAAAAAACAAAAAAAAAGAAGGAGTCGACTTTACTCTCCGAGATTTGTAATAATGAAATAACAAGGCGGAAAATTCATGGCACATTTATCTTAACATTGGACGATAACCGTGCAGCCAAAATCAATGATATAAACCTAACAAGTAATCCCGTGGAAATTGAAAGCATCTCACTCCCTATGTTACCTATGATTAACCTACCTGCAATAAACTCATCCCTCGAGATGTCATCCCCGGTGCAGCTGAACCTAGAAGGTATAGATCTTACGGACCTCAAATTTCTGTCAGTTGCATTAAGAAAAAGTGAAATTAAAAACAGTGAAAGTGAAAAGGCAATTGTGGTGATTAAAATTTTTAACCTATGGACCATTTTATTGTATGGACTGTTATTCATAACTGTAACCTGTGTCTTAGTTCATAAGTATCATTTAAACTTGTTTAATTTTTATATCCGAAGTTCTCCTGTAAACGAGAACTTCGAACTTGAGGAGGAAGGTGTTACGGGTGGCGAGACCCACCAAGATGTCCACATCAGCAGAATATTCTGATTGTAGACTACAGGCGTGTGCTTAGTGGACAAACGGAAACTGCCGAGCTCCTGTGTGGGCTCTCATGCATTAGTTTTTAAGCATAGAATATTAAGTTAGTCTTAAGCGAGTTCTTGTAGCGATTAAACATCTTTTAATTAATAAAATTAGTATTTTTAAAACGTCCTCCGGCCCCTGCATAACTTGACTATCTAGCTATAGTTTGTTTTGGGACATGAAAAATAAAAGTCAAGTCCAGCTCCTATAGAAATTTGGCTATTGTTCTTTAAGTTTCTTACAGATCCATGAAGGGCAATTCCCTAAATGTGTTTTTGAAACGACTATGATGAATTGAGTGACATAAATAAACTAAAATTTCTAACAATAAAATATCAATTTACTCAACATTTTCCATTACCAAGATGTTTTTTGTGGGAGCCCAAATATACTAAAAAGTAGAAACCTACTAAATCTTGTCACGCTATTTTGATATACTAAGTCTATGCTTTGTAAGATACAAAGTCTATGTTTGGACCCAGTGGCAAAGAGTTGTTGTTGTTACTTTACCATTCGTGACTTGAGGCAACAGTTTTAGACTATGCAGCCTAGTCTGATTTGTATTTTGTACACAAAACTCTTCGTAATTTTTTAATGAATTGCGAAATACCTGGGAGGTTTTTATGACAGATTAACTCAGCGTACAGTTTATGACATTTTACGGATAATTTCATGCTTTTTATCCCTTAGGCGGGTAAAAAAAGTGTGATTTATACGGCAATAAAAGTTCTTGTTACATCATTTCCATGAATAATTCACACGCATAGAGGTTTAATACACAAAATCGCATCACTTTTACTATACTGTCTCATAGATTATTGTATATATTATATTAGCTTGTGAACGCTGAGTTGACATCTCGATGAGGATGAATCACTGAAATGAAAATTGAAATTGAATATGATGATTGAGTTGAGTGGATGTAGTGAGCTTTGACCTTACAACTACCTTACGTATACGGACTTAATATTTTCGAAAGGAAGTACGCCTATTCAGATAAGAGAATACTACTTGGATCTCACAGAATAAGTACTCTGTGACAGAATACGAGAATACCATATATGGACCTATCTAGGTTATAATGAAGTTGTACCAACATTACAATAAATTGTATTATTTAATGACGTAGTGTTGTCAATTACTATAATCGATGTTTTAAGAGCTTTCGATTAAAACTAAACTAATTTTTTTTTGTATTCAATCACAGACACAGCCGTAGTAAAACTGACTGTAGACAAGTTCAATAATTAACGAATGAATCCAAAACGTAGAGGAGTTTTTTTTTATAGGACAGGGTGACAAACGAGCACACAGTCCACCTGATGGTAAGTGGTATGCTATGGCCCATAGACATCTACATCTATCCTCGTTTGCGAATCAAAATGCAGCTGCGTTGTCACCCGTGAGGACTAAGATGGAATGCCTCCTTTCCAGTAAAAACGGTCTCCGCTTCTCTGCACTCACCATACGAAACACAGCAGTGCTAAGCTGCTATTTTACGCTGGTTTTTTGTGAGAGCGTGGTCCTTCCCTAGTCGAGATGACCCATTCGTGCTACAACTATACTACTAATATAGCTGCAGCATGGCTCTACCACGTATAAAACGTTTCTTTATCTTATTTAAATTTTTAAATATTTATTATCATTATAGTTTATTCATTGTCGGTACATGAAAAACACTAAGAGAATAGTTAGTATTAACATAAAAAACATTTCTTTGCTTTCAACAATTCTAATGGCTTCAAACACAAAGCCATTCAAATTTCCAATATATAAATATGCGTGACTTGAAAACTTTGGGTTTTTTTATGGCGTATAAATTGATTTTAATTCTACGACTGACACCATCATTTCAAAATCGATAGTTATTATTCGATAACTCGTTATCTTTTACTTTACGTCATTAACGATAACGTCACGTCACGTCATTTTTGGGAGGCTATGGAGTGTTAGCGGCTGATTTTGTTTTTCTATTTAAATACAAAAGTACTGATTTAATCTAAGTTTAGCTTAGGAAGTGTAGTGAATAATTACTTAACTATAAACTCATAATGTCTTATTCTAACAGTAAGTAACAATTTGTGTTTTCTTGCTTGACACAAGCATGGTGCTTATATTGTAGTGAGTTTCCTTTAATTGTTTGTTAATCTAATTTTGCGTTTGTGTTTGCAGAATACACTTTTGCGGCCCTGCCGAGGACACAGCGTGGTACGCCTCTTGTCTTAGGAAGTGACCCGAAAGGAAAGAATTTTCTGTATACAAACGGAAATTCTGTTATAATACGAGACATCGAGAATCCGGCCATCTCTGATGTATATACAGAGCATTCGTGCCAAGTGAACGTCGCCAAATATTCACCCAGTGGTTTTTACATCGCTTCTGGAGGTATGATTATTCTCATTTTAGTAGATGTGATTGTAATTGAAAAAAACTACCAGCTTTCCAAGACCTCTAACATCACAGAAAAACTTATTTTATCTATACCTATATCTTACGGAAAATTTGCGATGAATTTATTTCAGCATATTATATACCAATTGAATTGTTAATATTATTTCTTTTAAAATTGAAAACAAATTTTCCTCTATCAGTTTCATCCCTTATCTAAAATTTATTTTCAACCTGTAGTTATGCTCCAAAGGTAAAGTAATAATGTTTAAAAAGAAAACATAAAGTAATGATATGGGTTTCAAATATTTGTGTTTAAAATTCTTGGCAGGAAATTGGATCCCTATGTTTATTTTTCTATATTTATTTTGATTGCCAACATTAGAAACTTAAAGTTTACTTTTTTTGAAATTCATATGTCCATAACATGCCAGTGCCTCTAAAACACAACAAATTTAACAATAACAATGCTTACATTCCTTGGCTCTATATTGGGTTTTACAAATGCATATTCTCACACCTTTCTTACCCATGAAAAATTTTACAAATAAATATTCACTGTAGTCAGTTTATACAGGATAGGTATGGGGCGTGAAACTTGCCTTGTATTCAAAAATTTCATAAAGTGATGCAAAGTTATGTGCACTCTTAGATCATATAAAGTACCGGGTGTCCAGTAAGGGTACTAAATAAAATGAGAAATATAATTAATTGAATATATCCTTTATCTTTAATTTAAAAACAGTTTCTTGAAAATTTATTTGGCGAATACAACATTATCTAAATGTGTACCCCCACACTGCTCGCACTCCTCTAACTTTGAACGCAGGTTGGCGTTGACGTGTTGACAAAGCGAAGTTGGGATTGCCCTCAACTCTGACGTGATGTTCTCCTTCAATTGACTCAGATTCGTTGGGTAGTTATCGTATACCTTACTCTTAAGGTATCCCCATCGAGATATCGAGAGGGCTAAGATCTGGACTTCTGGGGGGGCCAGTTACAACGGTGGCAGAGCCACGCAGCAGCTTTGCTGTTGCACGTATGGGCCAGCTCGAGCTGGGTTAGTACCACGACCTCATAGAATACCGGGGTGAAGTGGAAGCTCTGCTTTCGCGTTTCGTCTGGTGAGTGCAGGTGACCGGAAGCCCAATTCCCCCCCTCCCCCCCCCCATCAACATGGTAGCGGAATTACATCATAGACTACCCCAGGAGGGTACTTGCTGAGCATCCACGACTATGCTATTCCACTCCTGAGCGTGGGTGCTCAGGCTGCCCCGCGTATTCTAGGAGGGGGGCGAAATACCGCTCAACACAATGTGAATTTTTTCAACATCAGGGGACTTCACTCGAACCTAAACGCCGTCCACTACCATCTCGAGACGGCGAAGCCGGCCTTGCTCTTTCTGACCGAGACGCAGGTGTCCTCTCCGGTTGATACTTCGTATCTCTCCTGCCCGGGGTACAAATTGGAGCACTCCTTTGTGCCTTGGGCTGGAGTTTGTGTATACGTCAGAGAGGACATCTGTTTTCGACGCCTCGGCAGCCTTGAAGGTACGGACCTGTCCATCCTATGGCTGCGCGTAGACAGCGACGACCATCCCCGCGTCTGCGGGTGCCTCTATAGGTCCCATAGCGGTAATGCCGACACAGACCGACTCATCGACCACGTCCAAATGGCTACAGATTCCTTGCTACAACAGGTCCCATCCGCAGAGATCGTGATCCTTGGCGATTTTCACGCCCACCATGCCGAATGGCTCGGTTCACGTTTAACCGATCATGCGGGGAGATCTGTTTATGACTTTGTCTTGGCATATAGTCTGACACAACTGGTTACATCGCCTACGCGGATTCCAGATGTTGAAGATCATACACCTTCCCTGTTGGACCTTCTGCTGACCTCTCATCCGAACGGATATCAGGTTTCCGTCGATGCCCCTCTTGGCTCTTCGGACCATTGTCTGATCCGGATTGTGGTGCCACTCACGCTCCCCTCGCGGTTGCGTTCTGCAGGTTGCCGCCGTGTTTGGCATTACAGGTCGGCGGATTGGGACGGAATGCGGTCTTTCTTTGCTTCCTACCCATGGGGGCGGGTTTGCTTCTCGTCGGATGATACCAGCGCTGTTGCTGACTCTGTCACTGATGTGGTGCTGCAGGGAATGGAACTATTTATTCCATCATCTGTGGTACCCATCGGAGGCAGATCTCAGCCTTGGTTTGGTCGCTCCTGTAAGAATGCATTACGCAGTAAGCAGGAGTGTTATCAAGCCTGGGCTGCGGCTTCGGCGACTCGGGATGTAAACACCAGCATACTTAAAAAGAAGTATAACTTCGCCTCCAGGTCCTTCAAAAGAGTTATTGCCAAGGCAAAGTCAGAGCACAGGCAGAATTGGCGAGAAACTAGTTCGCCTTCCTTCGGGAACCCGTGTATTCTAGTCTCTCGCCAAGGCTGTCCAAGGAAATTTATGTAAGCCATCACTAACATCTCTGCACAGGGAGGACGACTCACTGGCCCACGACGCAAAAGAGAAAGCCGACCTTTTAGGCTCCCTTTTTGCGTCCAACTGTCCGATTGTTGATGACAGGAGGAACACACCACCGACCATCCCGCGGTGTGAGTGCTCCATGCCAGATGTGCGGTTCTCACAGCGCTCGGTTTGCAGAGCACTCCTCTCCCTGGATATCCACAAGTCGAGTGGGCCTGACGGAATCCCCCCAATTGTGCTGAGGACGTGTGCTCCGGAGTTGGCACCTGTTCTAACGCGTCTTTTCCAGTACTCCTACTCCCTAGGCGTAGTCCCGAAATCATGGAAGACAGCTTTTTTCCACCCAATCCCTAAAAAAGGCGACCGCTCAGACCCGTCCAACTACAGGCCTATCGCCATCACCCCCTTGTTCTTCAAAATAATGAAATTCGTTATAAACTGCCACCTCATGCGGTACCTCGAGGATCACCATCTGATTAGTGACCGCCAATACGGTTTTCGTCGGGGTCGATCAGCTGGTGATCTTCTGGTTTACTTAATTCATAGATGGGCGGAGGCAGTAGAGTCCAAAGGGGAGGCATTGCCCGTTAGTTTGGACATTGCGAAGGCCTTCGATCGGGTTTGGCACAAAGCGCTTCTTTCGAAGCTCCCTTCTTATGGGCTTCCCGAGAAATTATGCAATTGGATCACCAGCTTTATTGCAGATCGGAGCATCAAGGTCGGTGTAGACGGTGCATGGTCCGACTACAAGCCTATTAACGCTGGTGTTCCACAAGGCTGCGAGCTATCACCAACGCTGTTTCTTCTGCATATCAATGATATGTTCAAACCGGTAGCATTCATTGCTATGCGGATGATAGCACTGGTGATGCTCTATACACCGGCCGTGCCAATATTTCTCGGAAAAACGTCGCCGAGTACCGGAACAAACTTGTGTCCGAAGTCGAGTCTTTGCTGGACAAAGTCTCGGATTGGGGCGACTAAATCTAGTCCAGTTTAATCCTCAGAAGACACATTTGCGCGTTTACCGCTAAAAAGAACCCCTTTGTCGTATCTCCTCAGTTTCAAGGTACTCCCCTTGTTGCCTCGGCCATTATCGGAATCCTCGGCGTCGACATATCGAGTGACGTGCAGTTTCGTGGTCACTTGGAAGAAAAGGCGAAATTGGCCTCTAAAAAGCTTGGCGTGTTCAGCAGAGCGGGACAGTATTTCATGCAGGCACAACGCCTGCAACTTTAAAAGGCGCAGGTTCGGCTTCACATCGAATAGTGTTCCCAGAGATGGGAGTTTCCTTTCCGATCGGCTTGACTCATTGGCGCTGTGAAGAGATGTTGCATCTTTTTGCATTTTCTTTCGCATTTACCACGGGGAGTGCTCTGAGGAATTGTTCGGATTAATCCCAGCCGCCAAATTTCACGAACGCACATCGCGGCAGAACTCCTGATACCATCCACAACATCTGGATGATTGGCGATCCACCACTGTGCGATTTAGAAGATGTTTTCTTCCTCGCACAACTTCCTTGTGGAATAGTTTACCACCTGCGATTTTTCCGGACCGATACAACTTAGGGACCTTCAAGAAAAGAGCGTACTCCTTTTTAAAAGGCCGGCAACGCATCTGCAATTCCCCTGGTGTTGCGTTTGTTCATGGGCGGCGGTAGTCACTTATCATCAGGTGAGCCGCATGCTCGTTTGCCCTTCTCCTATAAAAAAAAGTTAATGGTGCCATGGTGCCAATGGTGCTACGCGAGATAACTTTGTTTGAGAACAATTCCTTTACAGCTTCTATTGACGCCCCTGCGGTGTGGCATGTGGCTCCATCTTTCTGAAACAATATTCTTGAATTAAACTCTGGGAAATCTTGTAATGTGGGCGCCATAAAAGTCCTTAACATGTCACAATAACGGTCTGTTTTCACCGTAACTGCTCGCCCACGTCTGTCTCCATGGAAAAAGGGGCCGATTATGCCCCTACCAGAAAAGGCGGCCCAAACGATGATCTTTGGACTATGAAGTGGCCGTTGATGTTTTGTTTTATGGTTTTCCTTGGACCAGTAGCGACAATTCTGTTTATTAACGTGACCGTTAAGGTGGAAATTGGCCGCGTCGCTAAACAGAATATTGTCAAAGCTGTTGAATCGCTCTAGCATTTCAGTAGCAAAATTTAACCGACTTTCATAATCGGAATCCTTCAGTTCTTGAACTAACTGGATTTTGTAGGTTGTGACATGCAAATCTTTCTTCAAAATTACCTGCACTGAAGATTTTTTGATGTTTAGTTCTTGTCCTCGTTTGCGAATTGATAGCGACGGATTTTTACGTACTGAAACTCTCACTTCTTCGATTGTTTCTGCATCTCTAACGCTTCGCGGGCGACCTGTATTTCGAATTTTAACAGTCGACCCGGTATTCTCGAACATTTTAATCCACTTTCGTATGACATCGTCGCTTGGCGATGTACGTTTGCGATATTCTCTGCGATATAAACGCTGAGCAGTAACAATGGAATC